GCTTTTCATTGTTGCCTTTTTTAAAAGAGCTGTCAGTGATGGGCTGTGATCTAAATGAGTATAAGGGTAATTGAAGAAAGTTGGAAAGATATCTCAGCTCAGCGCTGAATCAAATTCTTTGAACAAAAGGTCACGGATTTTAAACCCGGGTCTCTAATTAAAACCAGCAGTGACTGCAAAGACTTCCACTGAGGATTTTCATGCTATTGCTGGTCAAATGGGGTTCTTTATCTAGTATCATGGTTTACTCCAGAGCAAACCAGGTTTTCTCAATGTGAGCTTGTTTTTTGTTTTTTGTTTTTTGCTGGCAAAAGAGCAGAAAAAAGGAATATAAGACAATGTCAGATGGGACACCAAACAAAGGTGGATACTCAACTGTCTTCAAGTAGAAGCTTCTTTCTTTCTAGCTCCCCCTTTCTATCTTCCTCCATTTTATTTGTAGCATAAGGAAGAGGTGAGAAGTTAGGGCATTTTCAGTCAGAGAAGGAGATCAGGAGGTGGGGAAACTTCCTTTTAAGTGGGGGAAAAAATAGCCTTGTGACTTGGCTATCTTCTGCTAGACTGGATAGAAGGATGGTCCAAGGAGATAAAATAGCCACTTTGTTGACTGTGGAGACACTTGCCCTTTCTCTGCAGAAGTGTTTCGGTTCTTTATCTCAGGATTTCTTCATATAGTAGCTAAACCACAATCTGGCCAGCCACATTTTAGCAAAGTATGTTGCATGAAACCCTGGTTAGTTTATAGCTCAGTGTATTGGGCAAACCTAGAAAACGGTCTTAATATGGATAAGTCATGGAAATACAGCATTTAATAGAATAATAGAATAACAGAATAATAGAGTTGGAAGGGACCTTGGAGATCTTTTAGTCCAACCCCCTAATCGAGCAGGAGATCAGATAAATGGTTGACCAGTCTCTTTTTGAAAGCCTCCAGTGATGGAGCACCCACAACGTCTGAAGGAAAGTTGTTCCATTGGTTTATTGTTCTCACTGTTAGAAAATTTCTCCTTAGTTCTAGGTTGCTTCTCTCCTTGGTTAGTTTCCATCCATTGTTTCTCATCTTGCCTTCTGGTGCTTTGGAAAATAGTTTGACCCCCTCGGCTTTGTAGGAGCCCCTCAAATATTGGAACACGGCTATCATGTCTCCCCTAGTCCTTCTTTTAATTAGACTAGACATTTGGGAAGCTACTTTGCTGTTTGGGGCAATCAAACTATGCAAGTTAAATGTATATTGGGTTGTGACTGCACAGGCTGTACATGTTTCCCTTAGTACCAGCAGGCTCTCTGCCTCACCTTGCTTCATTTTATTTCCCTAAAAACTTTTTCATTCATAATAAAATTAACAGAAATCTAATGTGACGGAAAGTGTCGACCTCTAGAATCAGCTTTGTTTTCCAGAAAGCTTCCATGTGATTTCACAGGCAGTCACAGAAAATAATGGGAAGGTAATAATCCACCTGCCTTTTTTCGTTTTGTTTTTAAGGCAACTCAAGTCGGTAATGGAAAAAGCATTCTGGGCAAGCAAGTAGCTTTATGAGTTTGTCTTTTAATAATTGGGCTTTTTTTTTGCTTTTATGACTGATCATGCTCATTGTTTTAATGAGAACCACAATTGTTCTCAAAATTGGTCCCCAAAGAGACTTTATTTGGGTACAGATGCTAAATTTAGCTGTTTGTGTGAATCACCATCTGGTTTGGATCTATATTTTTCTTTTCCCAAATACACCAGAGATTCATGTTCTCACTCTCTCTTTCTCTCTCTCTCTATTTCTCTCTCTCTTTCTCTTTCTCTCCCTCCCTCCCTCTCTCTCTCTCTCCCCCCCCCCCTCTCTCTCAAACAATGCATGTGGTTTGGGAACTTGCTGCCATCAACCAAGGATTATTAGAATGCAATGTTACAGTCTAATAACATTGCAAGCAGGTCTTGTACAAACCTAGACTTGACTCAAAGCCTTATTTAGTGAGGACATCTTTGAATTCTCTAGAAGCCTATGGCTCAATCTCCAAATCTATTGTGCATGTCCATGGCTGCTGAGTACAGAAAAAGACAACAACTTACGGGTAATCCTCAATTGATGACTACAAGAGAGCCCACAAATTTCTGCTGCTAAACAAGGCAGCTATTAAGGAAGTGTTTCCCCCCCATTTTATGACTTATTTTGCCCCAGCTGTTAAGCGAATCACGGCAGTTGTCAAATAAGTCATGGGATCGTTAAGTAAATCTGCCTTCCCCACATTATCCTTGTTTGCTGGAAGCCAACTGGGAAGATCACAAATAGCGATCACATGACCCCGGTCATAAATGCATGCCAGTTGCCAAGTGCCTGAATTTTGATCACATGACCCCGGGGATGCTGCAACGGTCGTAAGTGTGAAAAACGGTCCTAAGTCACTTTTTCAAGGCCGTTGTAACTTCAAATGGTCATTTAATGAATGGCTGCAAGTCAAGGACTACCTTGAGGCATCTTGTCAGGGGGCGTACATGATAGCACCAGTCTTGAGGCACCACCAGAGCGCAGTGGTGGTGCAGTGGTTAGAAGGCAGAATTGCAGGCTAACTCACAGCTCACTGCAGGAGTTCGATTCTGACCAGCTCAAGGTCAGCCTTCCATCCTTCCGAGGTCGATAAAATGAGGATCCAGATTATTGGGCAAGAGGCTGACTCTGTAAACCACTTAGATAGGGCTGTAAGGCATTGTGAAATAAGTCTAAGGCATTGTGAAATAAGTCTCCTTCCTTCCTTCCTTCCTTCCTTCCTTCCTTCCTTTCATGGTGCACAATGGTTAGAATGCAGTATTGCAGGCTAACTCATTTGTCACTGCTAGCAGTTCGATTCTCACAGGCTCAAGGTTGATTCAGCCTTCCATCCTTCCGAGGTCGGTAAAATGAGGACCCAGATTGTTGGGGGCAAATATGCTGACTGTATAAACCGCTTAGAGAGGGCTGTAAGGCACTGTGAAGCAGTATATAAGTCTAAGTGCTATAGCTATTGTTATCCAAGAACCAATCAGCTGCTACTAACTAGTATAAAGTTCCTACTTTTGCTGCTTTTCTTCAGTTTGGGTATTGTCAATCAGGGAAGTGCATTGTCCTTTTCAGTGTTCAGACTACAAGATTGTCTGCTTACCATCTGACAGAATATTTCCATCTTTTATGGGGATTCAGCCCAGCAATGCATTGATTTTATACATATATAATTACAACCCATTTTCAGCAAATAAAGGAATACTAGTTCATCTAAAAGAAGAAAAGCAATTAAATTGCTTAGTTCATCTACCAGATGGGCTATTTGGCTTGGACAGGGTAAAGGTTGAACCATTAGCAGAGGAAATATTTCTTTTTCTAATTGCCCTTAAATCTCACTTGTGCAGCTTAATTTTAAAAAACGATGACGTATCCGAGGCACCGAAGCCAGAGAATAAAGTGGCTGCTTGCTCTTTCTCAATATTTTTATCTGTTGTGTAACCCATTGCATTTTTGTCTCATGACTTAGTGCCAAACCAAGCTGGAATTCTGACTCACTGATAAGATGTTAACATCAGCCTTATACATAGCTGAAGTGTCTGACCTATGAAGTCATCTCCCTTCCACCCTCTGCACCCAAACAGAAGGTTCAGTGATGTAAACCCTTGAGAGCTCACGCAAATATCCTGGACAAAAATGTGTTCCATTCACAAGTACATCGTGTCATGTGACTCCCACACACTGTGCCCGATTCAGTGCTTTTTATAGAATTCTCTGTAAGAAGCTTTGCTGCGATTCTCACAAAATAAGCCGTCCGAAGTCCATTGCTGATTTGATTTGGTAGATCGGTTCTCTGCAGACCTATACTATCCAGGATTTGCACATTCTAACCAAAGATTATTAGGTGCAGCACTTGCAGTACAAGTGTAAAATCTGTAGTGGCTGGAATTAGCATGAGTTAATCCAATTTACTGATAAGAAGGGCCACTTTCTGTGACGGCATGTGTGCACATGATTAAGATGGTTAAATTGCTCGGCTATCAGCAAGAATGGAGGGGAAATTGAACTCAAACTCTCTGGAAACAAGATTATATTTCCTAATTATACTCTTGACAGGAAAAGCGTTGTTAAAACAAAACAAAATATGAACAGGCCAACACAGGTATTATAACCCATCAGTGTGACATTTGCTTCACTCACATCCAATTTCCTAACATTATTTATTTGGATTGTTGTTAATGATTGTTCTCTTGATCACTTCTGCTTGGGCTTGGTGCTGTGTAATAGGTTTCCAAGCTGCAATACAAACAGCTTTGTTTGTGGGATGTTGGGGGCATGGCAGGGATTGTGTGTGCGCTGCCGACATAGCCTGGGAAATGAAGCTAGGGAGTTTTTTCTCAGTGTAGTGAAACTGATTTAGGGATTATAGCATTAATTAAATGAGATTTCATCATGATTGCCTTATGAAATTAATTAGAGAACAGGCAAATGGCCAAGACATTAACCAGAGATATACATTTCTCCTCTGTTTTGTTTTGCAGTCTTGGTGGTTATGAAAGAATAAATTGGTTCTCAATCCAAAGAACCACTTAAACTTTTTTGCGTTGGGAGCAAATTGTGCTGAAAACAAGTACTGAGGCCACCAGAATTAGCAAGAAAAATGCATAGCTTTTATCGCTTCCTACTTTCCCCACAATTAGGAGTTGTTTGTCACGAGATCAAGTTCTCCACCGAGCAGAGACTCTACTGCAGTGATTCTCAACCTTGGCCACTTGAAGATATGTGACTTCAACTTCCAGAATTCCCCAGCTGGCTATGGAATACTGGGAGTTGAAGTCCACATATCTTCAAATGGCCAAGGTTGAGAAAATCTGCTCTACTCTATGGCTTGTCACATGACCTCTAAGCACTGCAATGTGTCACAGACAGTGCAAAATAAATTCCAGTGTAAACATTTTTGAAGGAAATAATAACGTCATCATTCTATTTCTTGGAAATACCACTTGGTTTATTCCATGTCTTTGGTGTGTTTTTCAGAATCACATCCTCACCTTAATGTCTGTGGCTGCTCAAATCTACAAACACCCCAGCCTGAAGAATTCTATCAACCTGGTGGTGGTGAAAGTCTTGGTGGTGGACAATGAAAAGGATGGACCAGAAGTATCTGACAATGGTGGTCTGCTGCTGAGGAACTTCTGTAATTGGCAACAGTTCTTCAACCCTCCAAGTGACCGTCACCCAGAACACTATGACACTGCAATCCTGCTGACAAGACAGGTATTTAGATGCAGGTTGGCTGAGAGACATCTTGAAGATGATCTGGTAGAAGAATGGAGAACCCTTCCTTTAAAACTCAACATTCATATCATTTCCATCTTACCTTTCTCAATCACAGGATTTCTGTGGACATCAAACCTGTAGAACCCTTGGAGTGGCTGAGACTGGCACCATGTGTGATCCAAACAAAAGCTGTTCTGTGATAGAAGATGAGGGTCTGCAAGCAGCTTACACCTTGGCCCATGAACTAGGTAGCTGCCATGCCTATCTTGATGGGTAGTCATTCATTATATCAGAATCAACATCTGCCTTGTAGAAAAGCTACCCTTACATATTGTAGGTTGCATTCTCAAGTTTGGCCCATAAAGGAAGGATGATATATTACTTTATGGCTTTTATTATAATGGCAGTTTGGCGCCAGAAAGATATGAGTGCATGTTTCAGGTGTCCATTCTTGCTTGGAAGTTCTAGTTTTGACAAGTATATTATTATATTTCAATCCTAAATCAGAAAAAGATGTTGAGACCCTAGAAATTGTGCAGAGAAGAGCAACAAAGATGATTAGGGGACTGGAGGCTAAACTGTATGATGAACAATTGGGGGAACTGTATATGTCTAGTCTAATGAAGAGAAGGGCTAAGGGCAGTGGTGGGATTCAAATATGTGAACAACCGGTTCTCTATGTAGATGTCACTTCTGGAAGTTCATTCTGGGCCTGGGCAACAAAAAATTAGTTACCGGTTCTGTCGAAGTGGTGCAAACAGACTGAATCCCACCACTGGCTAAGGGTGATGTGAGAGCAGTCTTCTAGTACTTGAAGGGCCATCAGAGAAGAGGGAGTCAACTTATTATCCAGAGCACTTGTGGGCAGGACAAGAAATAATGGATGGAAGAGCATTAAAGAGAGATCCCACCTAGACCTAAGGAGAAATTTCCTAACAGTGAGAAAATTAATCAGTGGAATGGTGTGCCTCCAGGTGCTCCTTCTCTTTCAAGAAGATATTGGACAGCCATTTGTCTGGAATGGTATAGGGCTGTGGTGGCGAACCTATGGCATGCGTGCCACAGGTGGCACACAGAGCCCTCTCTGTGGGCACGCGCGCCGTCACCCCAGTCCTAGATCTTCAGCTGGGTTTTATAAAACCTTTTCGCTTTAGGCCTCCGCTGCCATGTTCATCAATCAATCAATTTCAACTTCTTGCGGGAAAAGAAAAGATCTCTCAAAGTTGGAATTGATTGATTGAACTTTTTAGTCCCACCCAGTCTGCCGTTACCACCGCAGCCATGCCCACCCAATGGGCCACGCCCACCCGGCACCCGATGATACATAAGTGGGATTTGGATTGCGGTTTGGGCACTCGGTCTCTAAAGGTTTCGCCATCACTGGTATAGGGTCTCCTGCTTGAGCAAGGGGTTGGACTAGAACAGGGGTAGGCATGGCTGGTTCAGGAATTCTAGGAGTTGAAGTCCACGAGTCATAAAAGAGCCAAGGTTACCTACCCCTAGACTAGGTCCAAGGTCCTTTCCAACCCAATTGTTCTATGCTCTAACCACCCATTTCTCTTTCTTTACAGGACACGTGCTCAGCATGCCTCATGATGACTCCAAGAGCTGTGAAAGGCTCTTTGGGACATTAGGAAAACATCACATGATGGCTCCATTGTTTATTCATTTGAACAAAACTCTGCCTTGGTCCCCCTGCAGTGCCATGTATATCACAGAATTCCTGGATGGAGGACATGGTACATATCCTCATTTATGTAATCATGCTGAGCGATGGCTTGTTGGTCAATGTTTGTGCGATCAGTTTCAATCCTTGCAAACAGGATCAGGTTCATGTTTCAAAGCACCAACTGTCTCTTAATTTTATATTATTTTCTCTGCTGCAAAGTTTCCTAAAAGTCTATTTTTTAAACGTTCTAAGCTTCGATACAATTTACTTCTCAAAACATGGGTACCGAGGTATAGAACTTTTACAAACGTAATTCATAAACTCTTTAAAATGGGGGAGGAGTTTGTTGTGTGTTCTGCTAACTTGATGAAGCTATATTACAATAGTTTACATCAGATTGAAGGCTCCTTGAGATAAATGGATGGGTGGATGGATGGATGGATGGATGGATGGATGGATCGAAGGATTGATGGATCGATGGATCGATGGATGCAGTGGTGGGATTCAGCTGGTTCGCACCACTTCGGCAGAACCGGTAGCTAATTTTTTGTTGCCCAGGCTCAGAATGGACTTCTGGAAGCAGCATCCACACAGAGAACCGGTTGTTCACATATTTGAATCCCACCACTGGAAGGATGGATAGATGGAAAGATGGATGGATTTATTCATTGGTTTATTTGCTTGTCTGTTTTATATGGCTAGAGTAGAAGGATCAAGACAATAGCTGTGACCAATTTCTGCTTTCTGGACTTCTTTAAGGTCCTCATGGAAATTTGGCTATAGGGTTAATACATTCTTTGAGACAGTCTTCCTACTCTTTCTCTTTCCCCAGGTAACTGTCTGCTTGATGAACCAGTCCAACCTATTGCCCTCCCGACTGATCTCCCAGGCAAAATATCACTGTATAACTTGGACCAGCAGTGTCAGCAAATATTTGGCAAAGAATTTCGACACTGTCCAAATGCCACACAGGAAGTCGTCTGCTCCCAGCTTTGGTGCAAGTTGGAAACTGGAGAGCAACTCTGCCACACCAAAAATGGCAGCTTGCCCTGGGCTGATGGGACACCCTGTGGGCCAGGGAAAATGTGTTTGGATAGCCACTGCGTGGCACAGGATACGGTGATGCCCAAGGTAATCTTACAGTGAGACCACCTATCTCTAATAAGGTAGAAATAGCACATGAAGAATAATGATAGTGTTTATTTGGTTGGGACTGAATAAAAGCATCTATAATGGACTAAAATCAGATGTGAAGAACCAACAAAGAGAAGATATTCAAAACTTTCAAAGCTCTGGGCAATAAATGACAGAATATAAACAGGAGAGGACAGAGGAAAACTGTACCTATTACTCTCTGGCTGATTGGTTAGAATTAGAATGGTCTTTCAGTTGCTACAAAGATCTTTTTCTTTATTTACTTCCTTTGTTTATATCTGACCTTTATTATTTTTATGACAACTCAAGGAGTACCTAAGATTTGTTCCTCCTCCTATTTTCCCCACAACAATAACCATGTGGGGTGAGTTGGGCTGAGAGAGAGGGACTGTCCAAAGTCACCCAGTTGGATTTCATGCCTAAGGTGAGACTAGAACTCACAGTGTCCTGGTGATTGGCCCAAAATAATCTGACCATTTTTTATGCCTGGTGAGAACTGAAGTCACCGCCTCCTGGTGCTTGGCCCAAAGTCACCTAGCCAGCCTTCATGCCTAAGGCAAGACTAAGAACTCACCATCTTTTGGTTTCTAGCCTGATGTCAAACTGGCAGAGCATAGCAGAGAATAGCATCTCTTGGGGACCTTTTGTCCCCAAGAGATGTGTTCTTCTCTCTCTTTTTCTAAGACAACTGCTACACTAGTTGGAGCAAAGCAGAGTATTTTACTGTTCCTTCAACAGAGGGTAGATGGAATCAGGCTCTTTTCGCTATGCTTTAATATCTACCTGGGAGAGAAGACTGGTCTCTCAGTGACTTCGAAAATAAGCCATAATCCAACAATTTGTGTCTTGCAGCTTGCTGTGGATGGAAACTGGGGTCCCTGGAGCTCATGGGGGCCGTGTTCCAGGACATGTGGTGGAGGGGTGCATTTCTCTTACAGAGACTGTGACAAACCAGTGCCTAAAAATGGGGGCAAATACTGTGAGGGACAAAGAGTCCATTATGAGTCCTGCAACATTGAGGAATGCTCCCCAACTGGTAATTTCCTCTTTTATAGCAACGTTTGCTATCAAGTGTTAGACATTTGTACCAAAATGGCTTGTGCAGAAATGAATCAATAACCCAGGAACTGGATATCTGCTAGAGTTGCCTGCATTTTTACCCCCTCAGTTTGGCACCCAGGCTGAGGATGCCTCCATTAAGGCTGTGTTAACCCAGCAGGTTTTACTGCCATTTACAGCATCCCACGGTCACGTGACTGTGTTTTACAATGGTTTTTGTGGAAAACAAGAATTCACTACCTGTAAATTGCATCCATAGCAAACCAATGATTGCGATGTTTGCTTAACAACCATGGTGATTCACTTAACGGCCACTGCAAAAAAAGGTTGTAAAATTGGTTCGGTCACAGGACTGACCCACTTCGTGACTGTCGTAAGCTATGACCCTAATGGGATGCTCCATTACAGTCAAAACATGAGGACTAGTGGCCATATGCCATAGCTGCACTCAGCATAGCCCATGTGGGACATGAATTAAGGCAGGCTGCATATCTACCCAGTAGAATTATTTGCTTTGGAGTTGAAATGTCAAATAGATGTATTCTCAGGTAAATGCAAATCACGTTTGGTGGAAGTGAAGTTAGGGTTAGACCCGACAGGAGTTGTAGACTATTAATCAAATCCCTGCATTACTTTCAGGTCAGAGAAGAGAGATCAAAAGTTTTGCAAATCACTGGCCTGAAAGTGAAATGTTGAAAACAAGATTTCATGCTCTCCATGTATCCACCTTCATGTGGATTCCTTTTCTTTCCATTGTAGACAAAAGCTTTCGAGAGCACCAGTGTGAGAAATACGACAGATACAACTTCACCGACTTGAATGGAAATTTGCTAGAATGGGTCCCCATGTACGCGGGAGTGTCTCCTCGAGATCGTTGCAAGCTGATCTGCCGGGCTAAAAGAGGCAATGAATTCAAAGTCTTTGAGACCAAAGTAAGAATTCTGTTTATGCATCCACCATTTTTACAGATTTCAAAACCTCTTACACACTAAAAGTTTTCCAAATTTCCCTGTTGCTAGTGTGGGCATGAATACAACTATGTTCTCCTGGCTGGGAAGAAAAACAGTGTTTCCTATAAAATTGGGGGGGGGGGAGGAAATCTATGTATCGCTTGAGGCATAGATGAATAACTCCCATCCATCAGAATGATTACATCAGTCTTGGTTGGCCAAACACATCCCTGCCTCCTCTTGTGTAGCTACTTACAAAGTTTATCTAGAGAGGAGAATCCCTATTTTGTGAGACAAATACTATGTTTTCAGTATTAATATTACTAATTGTTATAAGGACAAGAAGTAAGGGGGGGGAAGCTCATTAAAGAGAGATCCAGCCTAGAAGTAAGGATAAACTTTCTGATAATGAGAACAATTAATCAATGGAATAGCTTGCCTCCTGGAGTTCTGGGTGCTCCATCACTTGAGGTTTTCAAAAATAGACTGGACAGCCATTTGACCGGGATGGTATAAGGTCTCCTGCTTGAGCAGGGGGTTGGACTAGAAGACCTCCAAGGTCCCTCCCAGCGCTACGATTCTATGTTCTATGTTCTATGTCTGCCACATTTGCACACATTTACCAAATGTACAGAAGAATCTGAACGTATCCACATGTACCTAAACCCACATGTTTATTTTGTAGCATAAGATGTACAAAGCTATATATATAGATCAGTGATGGCGAACCTTTTAGAGACTGAGTGCCCAAACTGCAACCCAAAACCCACTTATGTATCGTCAGGTGCCGGGTGGGTGTGGCCCATTGGGTGGGTGTGGCTCATTGGGTGGGCGTGGCTGCGGTGGTAACAGCAGACTGGGTGGGTCTAAAAAGTTCAATCAATCAATTCCAACTTTGCAAGGTCTTTTTTGACTGATTGATTGAACCTTTTTTTTTTTTTTGCACACGGCGGCGGAGGCCTAAAGCGAAAAAGTTTTATAAAACCCAGCTGAAGGCCTAGGACTGGGGCGACGGCGCCCGTGCCCACAGAGAGGGCTCTGAGTGCCACCTCTGGCACCCGTGCCATAGGTTCGCCACCACTGATATAGATCATGCATGCTGTGCCTATAATGCAATATTGTTGATACAATATTAAAACACACTTTCCAAAAGCATGCAGATTAGGAGCAGTCATAACAAAAATGATGAATAGGTTTGAAATGTAAATGAAAATACCCATCCATTGATGGAAAGTGGAAGCATAAAAAAATTACTATTAGTAAAACAAGAATTGACCACAACAAAAAGCCAATAGCTCTGCACATTCTCCTTGAGATATCTGTACGAAATATATTTAAAGGAATGTCTTTAGATACTGTATACACTGAAGAGTGATAATGGGTAGATCAACTTCATTTTATTCTTCCTTTCTTTCCCTATCAGGTGATTGACGGGACAACATGTGCACCTGATACACTCTCTCTCTGTGTGCATGGACAGTGCATCAAGGCTGGTTGTGATCATATTATTGGGTCTTCTAAGAAACTAGACAGATGTGGAGTTTGTGGTGGGGACTGTTCAACTTGTAGGAAAATATCCGGCTCACTCAACAAATCCAAGTAAGAAAAGCCCACAAATGTTTTGCAAAGCAAAGAATACACAGTGTCCAGTTAGAGCTGAATATAGAGTTCTGATGAACACACACACACAAATCCAGAAAAATAATCTTTCAGTGACCATTGAGATTAAAATCCAGAAATCCTTCCTAGAACAGAATGTGTCCTTTTCCGAATTGTTTTGCACTTTCAATGCTAACATGAAAAAGGTGGGGAAAAATAAATAATTAGGATTAATCAGCCTTATTTAGAATGCCACGATGGCCTAGAGGGGCAGATGCTTGCCTCACACTCAGAGGTTGAGAGTTCAATCCTAGGCAGGGACAGATGTTTCTCTATCAGCGCGCTGCAAAATATCTGCTGTGAGCTCCGTGTTGGGGTCAGGAAGGGCGTCCGGCCAGCAAACGCTTAGCTTCATTCAGTTGCCCTGACTCATCCCCAATAAAAGGGATTACAGGGTCGTAAAAAGAAGAAAAGAAACAAACCCCAGAGTATTTGTATTTAATTAACTGTATTTTACATGTAATTTTGCGTTTTGTTTTGGTCCCACCATTTGTATGTTCTGAATATTTTTGAAACTAGTAGCCCCTTTCAAAGGCAAAGAGTCACCCTCAATGCAAAAAAGCACCTGAATAACATAGCAGAATATGATGAAAAGGAATGGTTTCATTTTACCCCTTTGGGACCCCTGGTATTTAACGGTGTAGTGCAGGCATAGGGCATTTTTGTTACCATTCCTGCACATAAGAGTCTTTAGAGATGCCAAGGTCAGTTACAATTTAAAGCAGGGGTCCCCAACCCCCAGTCTGTGGACCAGTACCAAGCCACGGCATGCCAGCAACCAGTCCACACAAACAAGAAAAGCCCCATCCACAGGATGCAGGCAGCACACAAAACCACATCCCCTCCAGTCCGTGGAAAAACCTCTCTCCATGGAACCAGTCCCTGGTGCCCAAAAGGTTGGGGACCTCTGATTTAAAGCATTTTAGCCTCTGCAATTGCCAAAAGAAAATAGGGGAGCAGGATGTTTCTGGATATGGAGCGATAGATGTTGTTCTTCAGCAGACCTTTGTTCACACTGCTGTTTAGCTGACGTTAACACCCATTTCTCTCATCTCTGTAGGTTTGGGTACAACGACATTGTCACTATTCCAGCAGGAGCAACCAACATTGACATCAAGCAACACAGCCGACGAGGAGTGAGGCATGATGGAAATTACTTAGCTCTGCGGACCCTGGATGGCAAATACCTACTGAATGGAAACTTCACTGTCTCAGCTATGGAACAAGACATTTTTGTGAAGGGGACTGTCCTGAGGTACAGTGGCTCCCTGACCACCCTGGAACGCCTCCAGAGTTACCAGCAGCTCCCCGAATCCATCGTGGTTCAGGTGTTGACCGTTTCCAGTGAGATGTTCCTCCCAAAGGCATTTCCCCCGCCCAAGGTGAAATATACCTTTTTTATCCCCAAGGACCTCCAATTCAGCAAGCAGAAGATCAAGGAGAAAAGCTTGGCCAACATGATCAAGCCCTTGCTGACCTCACAATGGGTGCTGGGAGATTGGTCGGAGTGCTCCAAATCTTGCAGTTCGGGTTGGCAAAGACGAACCGTAGAATGTCTGGATGTGGAAGGGCAGCCTTCATCCACCTGTGACAAGGCCCTCAAGCCTGTGGACATCAAACCGTGCAGTGGTCTTCCTTGCCCAATCTGGCAGATGGGACCCTGGTCCCCCTGTTCCCAAACATGTGGAGAAGGAGTGCGGACACGAAGCGCCTTGTGCATTGACTACCTGGGCAAACCTGTTGCCTTTGAGAAATGCAATTCATCGCAGCCCCCAGCAGCGACTACGGTCTGTCTGCTCCAGAAGTGCTGAAGTGAACGGAGGGCTGACGTGCAATCCGAGAAGCCTCTGTAACTTAGTCTAACTACTAACCTAACTCAAACTAGGCTTGGCATCTCCAAGCAAGGAAGTAGTTTTAAGGCCAATGGGCACTCATTGACTTGAAGAGGCCCTATTTCCTATACCTGTTCGAAAGATTAGAAGGCATTGGTTTCCACCACCACGACCCCTCTCTCTCTCTTTTGTGCTTTGTTTTCCTCCAAATTGACGTCTACCTCAGTGGGGGAAACAATAGAATTTTTGATAAATCATTTGATGTTTTGGAGAAAAAAAAATGTCTGCAGGTCAATACTTGGTAACTAAGGGAAACTCATGTCCGACCTAAGCGGTCCCTGCAGGTGAGCCAAAACTCACCTGCAGCGTCTTTGTGGGCTGGATTTTAGAGACATTATTTAAGATGCTGTTATTCTTGCGATGCAACGGGAATCCCCATCAACACAGTTTTGTGAATCCTTCAGTTAGCAAAACAGCTACAGTCTTTGGGGAGGGAGGGCATACAAGATTCTGTCTTTGATATTGGCAACTGGTAAGTCAGTCCTTGGTTCAGTTGATGCAAATGAAGATCGGGGTTCGTAGTTTGGACAAATCAGTCCCAGGGAGTTTATTGGGATGATATGCAGGCTTATGCAATGTTTCTTCAAAGACAGTTTAGTCCTTGACATACAACCACAATTGAGCCCCAAACTTTCTGTCGCTATGCGAGACATTTGTTAAGTAGGTTCCATTTCTGTCGCTACACGAGACATTTGTTAAGTAGGTTCCATTTTACAACCTTTCTTGCCACAGTTGTTAAGTGAATCACTGCAGTTGTTAACAGTTAGTAACCTGTGAACCCGGCTTCCCCATTGACTTTGCTTGTCAGAAAATCAGAAACGGTGATCACATGACCCAAGGGTACTGCAATCATCATAAATATAAGTCAGTTATATCAAGTCTCTGAATTTCGATCGCGTGATCAAGGGGGATGCTGGAATGGTTGTCAGTGTGAAAAACAAACGTAAGTCACTTTTTTCAGTGCCGTTGTAACTTTGAACAGTCACTATACAAACCGTTGTAACTTGAGGATTATCTGTATTAAGTTGAGGACAGTCATTAGCTGGCTTTCTCTGCGATTGGCCATGAAATCTTTATCAATAGTTATCAATTTTTATTATAGGTCCTCCTGTTAGATGAGAAGTTATTCTACAGCAACACGCTCATATTACCATTCATCTTAGCCCTGGAGATTCAGAATAACAGATGTAATCCGTGCTTCCCTTTGTGCTCATATATCATTCATCATTTTGGAAGCTTAAGTAGCAACATGGATGCCAGCGCTGGAGGAAAGATAACTAAAAATATATGGGTAGAATATGCCTCCAGATCCATTCTAATATTAGGGTTGAGTGCGTGATTAATATTTCTCCTTCCCTCCATTTTTTTGGGGGAAAGGACACAATCTTAGAATCACTAAAATGCACTAAAGTAGGGTTTTTATTGTACTTTCCTAAGATTGTTTGGTAATGTCGTTAAGAAGTGTCCCTTGTCACTCGCTGACAAAAATTCACCTTTGGAAGCTGCAATTTGTAGATCAAGACATGAGGTCAGCAAACAAATGCTGTGAATACTGACCAAGGCACATTTATCCAAATTACTAGGGCACGGTGATCCACTGCATAATGCAAACAAAGACACTTCAGTAGTCTTTTGACTCTTTGCTTAGGTTAATCATAGTTTACCTTTTCTCAACCAGAGAAACTCTTCATTATTTCTAGTCTTTCATGTGTTTCTTCAGCTTATGCATTTATCAAAAGGGCCATTTCAAAAAAAAAACACATATAACCTAATAAGATTCCTTATTATTTGTAAATAGATGTCCCGGTTTTAGTGCGACTCAAATGGATGTGTCAGTATTGACATTTGTATCTCCAACCTCTTGGGATTTTTGTCTTCAATCTAATTTTCAGACTAAAGTCACTCAAAAGCTCACATACAGTACATGAAACGGGAAATTGGTGCTTAATACATCACCACTATTCTACAATGGGTAGCAAAGTTCTAGCTGCTTTTTGGCACTGCTCAAAATGATGTTAACAAACTTCACACTAACACTTCCGATCTCTATACTCTTGAAAGATGATGGTGACCTTATTCTCCTATATTAAGCTTTAGCCCTTTTCCATAATGAATTCTGAAAATGTTGAAAAATGAATTTTCTTTTTGTCCTTGCAGAGTTCACTATGTCTCTCCATTTACTGCACCCTCAACTTTAATTGTCATTCTGGGATTTTGTTCCCTGCAGGAGCTCCTGTGTGACTTATTTAGGAAACAGTGCATTTTTCTCTAGACGAACAAGGACGTCTGCCTTTTAAAAGTGTGGTTCAAAAAATAGCATCAATAGCATAGTTCTTTCCACTCTTAAATTATGCTGATCTCATAAGGAATAGTTAAAGGGAAGCCAGATAGTTTGATGTTGAAAGGGAGCGAGTCCCAGTTCTGGAACAAAAATAAGATCCTGTTGAGAGAACATGTGTTTACAAGTGGGCTTTGTTTCATAACTACAAAGTGGTACATGGTCAGCCCTGGCCTTTAATTTGCATTTGTCCCTTATGGACACAACTGAGTTCTACCTGGTGAAACACAAAGATACAGAGACTTGCAGCAGGTTTATCTATTTATTTATAAAATGTATTGGCTGCCTGTCTTATACCACAGGGTAACATATTCAGTTAAAACAAAAAAAGTTACAATCAGACACTAAAACCAAGGTACATGGGGAGGGCAGGGATGGAGTGGGGGGGGGGGAGGTGGGATTTGTTATTACTCAATCAACTACCTCTGTTGTGCTGTTCTGCCATCGGAACCCCAAGCCAACTGGCAGAACCAGATCTTTAGGCCCTTATGAAAGGATAGGAGGGTTGGGGGCAACCTCACATTGGGGGGGGCAAGATGTTCCAGAGGGCAGGAACCACAACAGAGAAGGCCCTCCTCCTGAACCCTGCCAGCTGGAATAATTGGGCTGACCGGAACCCACAGCAGGCCTCCTCTGCCAGCAGGAGTGGTACGGGCCAATCCCAGTGGGGTGACATGGTCCCTCAAGTAAGGTTCTTCCATTTCTTGCTGCGTGCAAATAGCCAACATTTTCTTCTTTAAGACCACTGCAGATAGGTAAGATTGTTCATAATTATATATTAATAGAATGGGGTGGGGGGGAAACATGCAGATTTTGATTCTAAAACCTATGTGTAAAGGAAGCTAGGCTGGAGTCCCACTTAAGATTCTGCTGAACTTCTGTCTGCACTGGAACTGCAAACTCAGTCTAGGGAGGGACTGTCTGTCTGCCTTTAATTCAGTCCCTGTACATCTCCACTGAGATCATTATCCTGTCATTGTCTTTTATTTGCTATCTGTTATAGAGCAGGCAGATCTTCTTCCTGGGCTGAACTCCTTCCTTCCTTCCCAGCTCGGAATCCTGCCAAAATCAGGCGGAACTGCCAAGGCATATTTCTGGTCCAGACTGTCTGGCCTTAAAGCAGACACCCAAATCAAGTGAACTTCTACCTTTTTAAGCAAGCTATCTTTGATTTGTACTGAGGTCTGAGGCTCCCTGGTAGTGTGAAATATATTCAAAAAAAGATCTTCCAGAATACTAAGGTTCTCTGTTTTGGGATAGATTTGGAGACGGGGAACAATTTATTCAAGAAAGATCTTTCTTTCTCTGCTTTTCTGAGGTTCCTTCACTTTCCATCCAGCAGCTGTTTGTATCTGACTGCACTGTGTTTTTGAAACGTAACATTAATACCATACATCTTTTCTTTTCTTTTCTTTTCTTTTCTTTTCTTTCTTTCTTTCTTTCTTTCTTTCTTTCTTTCTCTCTCTCTCTTTCTTTCTTTCTTTCTTTCTTTCATAATTCCTTGAAGATTTGGGAATATACTTGTTCCCATCTCACTGGAAAATTACCATTTGAAGCAGCAGATGTTAGCATTCTCTGCTGAGTATATCCACTCTAGGGAAGATGCCCGACTGTCTTTTCAAACATCGTACTGTACTTCTGCTGACCTATAATGCCATTTTCCAGTTTTCTGCTTGATCCATTCAATAACAAGCAGTAGACACATTGCCTATTAATTGATAGTGGAGGATGGGACTGAAATGGATTTCATTCTACAATCTCTGGCAGAATCTCTAACATGGGATACTCATCCTCGCCATCAAGTAGATCATCTGAGGACCTGCTATAATAGGTAGGATGCTTGCTCACAATGACATCTTTGCTCAGACAGCATCAGCCATTTTGCCGCAAGAAAAAATACATTGGCTTTTGCATTCAACATGTGAATTGCAAAGTAGTAAGTGGACCATAAAAGAAGCAGTTTGAAGTTGGTTATTTCCTTTATTTAAAAAGATGGTGCAGTTAATATCTCGGGATTGTAGAGTAGCTTTGATGTGCTAGTTTATTATGTACAAAGTTTCTTTACATGGAGGGGAAAGACGATTCAGTTCATCCCAAAAGTGCTTTTCCAAAAGGCAACTGGACTTTCTTGTTTGTTTGTTTTTTCTTGAAAACTTTTCGCTTCTCATCCAAGAAGCTTCTTCAATTCAGAACAGAGGAAGCTTCTTAGATGAGAAGTAAAATGTTTTCAAGGGAGAAAAAACCCCAAAAAAGTCCAGTTGCTTTTTGGAAAAGCACCTTTGGGACAACCATGATCTGATCCAGGGGTCTTCAAACTTGGCCCTTTTATGACTTGTGGACTTCAATTCCCAGAATTCTTCAGCCAGGCATGCTGGCTGAGGAATTCTGGGAGTTGAAGTCCACAAGTCATAAAAGGGCCAAGTTTGAAGACTCCTGGACTATAGGATAGCTCTATAAGTATTTATTTCTCTTGGACTCCACTCTGAACGAATGACTGTGGGTTATAAATGATATTACAAACTCCTGAGATCCTTCTTCCTACATCGAGAAATCTACGGTGCATCCCTAAAGAATTGTCATATACTACAAAGGACTATCCGTTGTGTTCATTCTCAGGTCACTTGTCATGTGTTGGGATGACCCATCCCAAAGCAAGGAGCTCAGAATGTACCCAACACTGTCCTCTTGTGGCTGTGTATCGCAATGGAAAGAAAACAAAGGTAGCAATTTGCAATCTCTCTGCAATGGATTTTTTGAATTCACTCATTTTCATTTGTCAATGAACAG